GGAGAAAGGTCTTAGCTTCAAAATCATGTTTTGTTTATGTGAGTTACATTTCCATTTCTGGTATACTAAAGAATATACAAGACCAATAAAAAGTTGTGGGACTAGGTGTCCTGCACTATATCTCCAAAAAATCCGTACAGGCGATGTATTAAATGCCGACGTGCGTATAGATTTTCAGTTGATACTCAATTAAGATATCATCAATATTGTTATCCGTGTTCCAGAAAACAAGCAGTATTAACTATTCAGCGGATATTTCGTTCATGGCATCGAAGACGAATAGATTCAGCCAAAATCGTCCAAAACGCAGTAATTAAGTGGCTTTATCGACCCGATGGATCATTTATGAAGCAAGCCAAAGATCGATATTACCAACGGGCTGAACTGGATAGGTGATATAATAAGCCTCGAGGGAGAGATGACATGTGACTAATTTTTCGTTTAATAAATTATATTTACCTAATGTAGGAAAGCAAGTCGGCCTACCCATCTGCCATATTTAATTTTTTCAGCTGGCTTAGAGGGTTGTGCATCCAAATCTGCAACCGACTCTTCCGATCTTGAGAATGTATAATTATATATCAGACATTAGTTATTTTTTCGTGATAATATACATTATTAAATATACTTAACATGTTCGTTGATTCTCTCGTAGAAGGAAAATTCCCAGTCAAAGCATTAATTGATACAACATCTAAATACAATACTATTAGCAGGCGCCTGTTCGATAAGCTTGAAGAAGATTATGGAATTCATCATATCTGTGATCCTGTTGAGATTCTCTATGGAGATGTAATAGGTGAAATGCAATGCTTAGATTTGCAATTTTGTTATAAAGGAAAGTGGCGAAGCTTAGATGCCACCGAAGTAATAGACTTTCAAATTCGCAAAAATCCATCATTTGATCTGGTGTTAGGACAAGAATGGTTATGGATGCATAAAGCAAAAATAAGCTTTGAATTTTCTCCCGAAGCCCGTAGCCACCATGCTAAAATTGTAATAGATGGTATGAGTATCCCATTAATCGAAGAAGGTAGCAGGTCCATAAGCGACTCGAAAAGTCATAAAACCAGCTCCTCTAAAAATAGGCTTTGTAATAAAGCTGATTAGATCATGTTTCTGAAGGTAGATTAGCTAACCTGTTCAAGACATGGGCACTGATTGTCGCTAGCCGATTTTTTGACAAAAATTTCGTGGAATTGTTGAGGAGTAAGATTTGGAAATAGAGGAAGTCCCTCTCCAGTAAACCGAAATTTCTTTACCCCCATTTCACCATATTTCGGTAAAATTACACCTGGATCATCTTCTAATGGACCGTGAAATTCCTCAAGCTTTTGTAGTTGTGCTCTTACATTCTCATCAACTTCTTCTGCCCTTTCTTGATTAGAATAACCAATAATACCGAGTTTATCCTGAATTACCACTATATCATCTTCTAAAGATAAAAGCAAATCAAATAATCTAATTGGTTTATCTGAAGAGGCTTTATCCCTTCTAAGTTCCACTTCTAGAACAGGATTGACATCTATACCAAGTTTCTCCTGTATCAGTATTAAATCTCCTACTAATTTTAACAATAATTCATATGAAACAGCAAGATTTTTTGATTTCTTGCTCTCCGTCACTGCTGTTTGATTTATATTACTGATAATACCGAGTTTTTCTTGAATTGCTATTATATCCTTCTTCTTATATAAAAGCACTTCATATAAAGGAGCAAATGTTTCGCTTTGATCGGATTTATTATTAGTATTACTTATCATATTTGTTATAATAAAATAATATATTAATTGCAGAAAAGCTAAATTACAATTAAATTAAAATCACGTGTACCGATCACTTTGCTAAAAAAAAATGAATATGTCCCGATATATGTAGAAAACTTCTATATCTGGTTAAAAATTTGTACAAATTGAGTATGGATTTCTTCCCATTCTTTCATCAGATCATCTAGCCATGCAGTACTTAAACCACTTTTTAGTATACTGCGACGTAATAATTCTTCTCCGATTAGCCTATCCCGATCTGTTAAAAATTTATGATATTTTCTAGGGTCTTCTTTACTTTCTATTCCACCGCGATAAAAGCGTATATCTCTTTCCAAATCCCCACGAAAACACCCCATGGCCCACCTATTTTTTTCAGCTTCTGTAATTATTGAAAAATTCTCGGGATCCATTCCATGTTCGATGGCATATTGATAAAGGCGGGTTTTGTTTGGATGAATTGGTGAGTTACTGATTTTGTTTGGTACCCTTATTTGAATTCTGGTAAGCTCTGTACAGCAATAATAACTTTCTTTTGATCGATACAAAAAGGACAATTAAGAAAATAGTGATCATTTTTTACCGAGACAGCTCCAATCGCCCCATATACCTCGACGTGTATGTACCTCTTTACATACAGGACATTTAGCTTCTGAATCGGTATATTTAAATACATCCCGGTGCCATGCATTTGAATTAGTATAGGACAAGAAAGGAAAACGTTTATGTACTGCTTCATGGATTGTGCTTTTTTCTTCTGGAAACTTCGAAATTTTGATAACACAATCCTGTGAAAGGCAATTATCAGCCTTTTCGATTTGTGGAGGTTCGGGAGTTTCAGACATTATCCAGGGATCAAGCCCAGTCTCTTCCGTATATGCTCTATATAAGATCCAACGAATTTTATCAGTCAAAGAACTTGGTACTTCAACCAATTCGGCATACCATTTATAGTAGTCATCAGTTAACATCTTGCCGGAGGCAGTTACGGGGTGGCTAGACGAATAATCTTGTAAAATAGTGTTAGAAGACATGTTATCGTTTTATAAGAATACAAGTCAATTCAAAATAGCGTGGCTGTCAAAGAAAAAAAAAATATCACTGTTCACTCACTGGCTTGTGTAGTTATCTACTTTTGAATATATATGCCTCACCAATAATGAGAGAAACGAATTGGCAGAAATAATCATCTTTATTAGTAGAGCTAGTGTGGCTTATGCTGTTATTTCGATTTCACGCTTTCCACATATAATAAAGTAGGATCCAGCTTCATATTTACCTTTTACACTTTTCCCATCCTCATGATTTAGTTTACATATTGGACATAATGATCCCTCAATAATTCCATAATAGTCAAATTTTTTGTTACTAAATGTTTTATATAGATCAGAAAATTGCCACAATATCTTATTACGAAAATAAGCATGATCACGAGTTGGATTGGATGATACATTTACCTTAATTTCTGGTTTCGAAGAGACAAAGTCTCGAGTCTCTGACTTATCTTTAATATCGGGTACATTTACTTCAGAATTACTCCGATCGCGAATTTTATTCATGGTTTTTGACCATGCTAGCTCCGCTGATAGTACATGATTTATAATATTCTGAATTTGAGCATTAGTTAGTTTTGAAATCTCATTTGCGCTATATGTAATTCGTTTAATTTTATCTATTCCAACTCCATTTTTTCCGAATAATATGAGAAGTTTCCTAGCTCTAAGGGTTTTTTTACGCAAGTTATCTTGAGTGATATTAGGAAGAAACGGTTTCATTTCTTTATAAATCATTATTCTTGCTGTTTTATCTTTGATCTTACCATCAGCTGTAATAGCATGAACCCTTTTTTCGAATTCAAGAGAATAATAATACCAGTTTAAGATTTCTTGTTGGCGAGATTTGATTGCCGTTTTAAATAAACAAGAAAGATGTTGAGCGGAAAATGCAGAGCTTTGAGTTTCTGACTCACCTAAAATTGTGTATTCTGATTTATCACATGAGATGCTAGTTTCAGTAGAGCTAGTATTCTCTATTGCGGAAGCAATCTCAGTAGATGAACACAGTTCTTCTATTAAGCCCTGTTCTACAATTTGATTTTTATCAACCTCATCATCGTGCTCCAATTCAGACATTTCAGTTTTCGGAAAATCTGGCTCTTCTGAAATTGCATGAATTTGATCGTTCCCCAAGGGAACAGTTCTTGTGTCACATGATAAATTGGATAGCTTTGATAAAATGTTATCCGAAGTCAAGTCTTGATTTATTGCAGATTCACGTAGAAGCTTCTTTTCCTGATTTCTTTCTCTTATTTCGTTACTAACCTTTTCTTTATTCACTGAATCCAGGAATTCATCGACCTCCTTATCTTCCAACGATTTAGGCTCTGTGCAGATAGGTGATGTATAGCATCGAGTCGAAGATTTCTGACGTACATCAGAATTTGAAGCGTTATTAGATATATTTTCTATCTGCTCGGGAGTTATGGGAGTAATGCTAGTAGTTACAGAGTCATTTGTTTCGCAGTGAGGTAGAGAAGTTACTTGTGATTCTGAATAATTTAAGGATGAATCGGAGATTTGAAGTTTTGCTTCCTGTGTATTAGTAATGGTTTGGGTTCGCTTTTTGATTTCCTCAAAATCGTGTTCCAATTTAGTTACTTTGACTTTAAGCTGAGTATTCTCTTCCATAGCATGTTCCAATTCCGCAATTCTAGCTTTAAGCTCATCTTTTTCTTTTGCAGTCTGCTCCAATTCTACAATTCTAGCCATAAGTCTGGCATTCTCTTGTT